ATTGTTTCTCCTAGCAGTGCTGGTTTTCAACAGTTGCTAAATGTTTGTTCTGATTATGTAGTCAAATTTGACGTTAAATACAATGCTAAGAAGAGCGCTGTAATGATCTGCAGAGCAAAAGGGGATAAGAACCTTTGTTTTCCAACATTCTATCTATCAGGACAGGTGCTGTCTGTTTGCTGTAACACTAAGTATCTGGGACACATCATCACAGATGAAATGGCTGATGATGATGACATGTATAGACAGCGGCGTGTCTTATATATACAAGCCAACATGTTGGCTAGAAGATTCTCTTGGTGTTCAGATAAGGTTAAGGTGAACCTCTTTAGAGCTTATTGTACTCCTCTCTATACTGCCCCCTTGTGGGTCAAGTATAAGAAGGCGAGCCTCCGGAAGCTCCAGGTTGCATATAATGACTGTTTGCGTATACTGCTTAGAAAACCAAAGTGGTGCAGTGCAAGTGAAATGTTCTGTAATGCACGAGTCAACACGTTCCATGCTCTTTTGAGAAATCTGATGTACAAATTCATCTGTCGATTAAATGTTTCTCATAACTCTGTCATTATGCTGCTTTCAAATCCGTGTCTCAGTGCTGCACGATACCAGTCACCTCTGTGGAAACATTGGTATAACTGCCTTTTTAAATTTATATTTGAGTGTTATATGTCTTGTAATGGTGGAACAAGAGTCTCTTTAAATAAAGATGATGATGATGATGATGATGATGATGATGATGATGATGATGATGATGATGATGATGATGATGATGATGATGATGATATACACCTGAACATCAGCAGGAGAGGACTCTTTAAAGTAGAGACACTACATACTGATATACACATGAACATCAGCAGAATATGTCCTCTTTAACACAAAAAGATGGACCTTGGCCTCTCCACTCACACCACCCCATACTTTGCCGGTGTCATGCACAATTTGCTGAAACCAGCATGAATTTTGGAAAACATTTGAAGTAAAAAAAAACTAATATTGAAATTAAATCCATAAAAATGTGCCCCACCTCCAATACATTTGTTGGAAAACTAAAGACAACATAACATCCCTGTTGTAGTCCAATGTGTATCACTCTTTTTATATAAGAGGATGTTAATAGGCTGGGAACATAAAGTCAAATATGTATATATATATATATATTGTTCTACTACCATAATACATGTAATATATGTGCTGTGTTTGTCATTTCTTTTACAGTTAAATTAGTATAGAATCCTCCATATATATGTAAACTAGACTTACAAAACACGGTTATCCTTTAGAAATATATACAGTACATCTCCAACTGACTGTAGGTGGTCTCTATGCTGCATTCAGAGACATGCATTACCTCAATTAATGAATACACTACAGAGGAAACTCAAGACAAGCACCCCAATAGACACACATCTCCGTGTCAATGCAGTTCTTCCTCAGTGGTATTGGCCTTCAGGTTGGCATGGTAACACCAGGCTTAGAGACGTGGTTGTGAGTCAGAAGCTATAGTCAATGTCCCTGAAACTTGTGAAAGATATTTTTTTCCGGGAGCAGAACAGGGAACATAATACAGCCAGAAGAGCACTCCAACACAAAACGTCTGCAGGCCAAGGTCAAAGCCACACACACACTCACACAAGAGTGAATGGAGTACGAATATCCACCTCCACTTGATCACGATGTCTCTTTCTGAACACACACACACACACTGGCACAAACCTTTTCCTCTGCACCTTCAATGTGCTTCTGATGCTCATCGCTGTCAGAGCCTCTATTGAACAATGATGTCACCAGCGAGGTCAAGCCCAGACTTTGAATTCCCTTATGGACGTCATGGGGGTGACTGGTTGGCATGACACACGTTACACTCTTTTTTTTAATGCCTTTATCAACTGAAATGCCAGCATGTGACAAACATTTTTTATCTGGAAATTGCTATCTAAATGATTTCCTTCTTGCTCAGCCACAAGAGGTCAGAATTGTATGCTTTTAGTTCTTGTGTGTAATGGTAAAGAGGGGGATTATGGCATTGTATAGTTTGAAATCACTTTCTATCGACTTCATCCCTTGCTCTCTGTGCTACCACAAAGCATTGTGGTAATAATAAGACCTTCAAGGTTTTTCTATTATTTTCCTCATCCACACACCTCCTAAAAACGTCTTGCTACTTTATACTATTGCTAAATATCATATAGAAATATTGCACTTTTCACTCACTTTTGTATGACGGAGTATTAGGGCCGCACTAACAAAAAAAAACCTGAGAGATTTAGAGAATAAAGTCGTAACATTATGAGAATAAAGTCATAATTACGAGAATAAAGTCGTAACATTACAAGAATAAAGTCATAATTACGAGAATAAAGTCGTAACATTACGAGAATAAAGTCAAAAATGTGTATGTGGTTGAGAGGTTATTCCAGCAGACTACACTCCAGCTCACCAGTCAACAGGTAACGTAATTTACTTTAATGAAAAAACGTTGGATAAATGCTGCTTTGCTTAAAGATTTGTTACTCTTCAATTAAGTTGTGCTAATTTGCGCAGGGCTTCATATTTTGGATAAGCCACATGAAGACAAGAACAATTAACACTAAAATACTGCATGATAACGTTAGCTACATGTGAGTCAAGAACGGGGCTACAGTCACTGTATTTTGTCGCTGTTTGCCAAGAAGGAGCCGAACCATGATTTTAGAGATGGTAGCCTATAACGTTAGCCTGTGCGAGTTTCCCCAGTTGTTTTTTGGTCATTCATAATGAACGTCTTCATCCACTCAGTATTGTTTACTGGTGTAGCATGTCCCTCCGAAATATGGTCGTAGACTTTACTGATGATTTAGAATGTATTGAAACTCCAGTGTCAACGTAAGAGTTTGTGCCTCTTCAGGGGGCGCTAACATTTAAACATACACTTTATTCTTTACTTTCTCCGTCTTTATATGTATTCTGCTTTCCTAATAGGCATCTTTAATACGATAACACTGGCCATGAAACATATAAACAAAGGTGACAACTAACATGCAGTGTCAACCAGAAACGAACTGTACTGGCTCTACCATACCTGTTCCCAGGGTCGTCTGTTTACAAACGTTTGTAGCCTACTTGGGCTGTTGCTGTAAACAAACAGATCTGCCTCTGAAGTTTACTGGCCAGGCCTGAGAGAGACAAGTAGAGCCAGCTAAACATTATGTGCACTGTAGCTCAGCATGTGTAGGAGTGTGTCTGTCGCACTACAACGTCAGTTGTAAATAACTCAATTTGTGTTCTGTGAAACTGAAAAGGATATTATATTGTTTTTGTTACTTTCGTTGCAGTTGTTTAAATGTCTTAAATGTAATTTAGGTTAACTTCCTGTTTTATTTAGATGCTTTTATTTTGAAGGCGAGTTTACGCTGTTGACAGGAAGTTGTTATTGCTATGGAAACAACATCTTCTAAAAACTTCTATCTATCAAACTGAATTGCTGTATCATGTTTTCAGTGTTAGCAGTAGGTACCCTGAGCTACATGGCCTCTACTCAAAAGGGTCAACAGAAGCCTGCAAAATAATAGGTACAGATGTAGCGATTCATTTCATACAATTTGAAACGCGAGGGCCGTGATTGGTACGTGATCTGCCCTCGCTCAAGGGAAAACCTCCAGCTTGACTTGAGACAGCCCCCGTGATAGATAAATGTAATTATAATGAAGCCAGCTGCAATGGATCATTGATCCAGCAGGGGGTGCAGTGGGGTTCCACACTGGAGCTCATGTGAAATAAAGTGAGATACAGTATGCTGGATGAACAGCGGAACTTTGTTAAGATCCATGTGTCACGGATATCATACTACTGTGCTAAATAAGAGACATGTAATCATTTACAAAACATCACCATGTTGTTATTTAACAAAATTATTTTGTTATTGGAAAAAAACGAACGGGATGAAATGCAGCCCGGCTCTCGATTTGTAATCCTAATTTAATCATCATCTTCACCACGATCATTTATGTTTATGTTTGCCGAATTGACATGAAATCACTGACACATATGAATATACTGTATTCAACTTCATTAAAACGTTATTAACGTGCCTAAACTCAGTAATTCACCAAAAATATGTATATTTTAATGGAGCTTCGTCGGTCGATCAGGATCCCAAAGTGTAGCGGAGGGATCCTCATCTGGATGAAGGGTGTTATTTTCCCCATCAGGAACAAGTCGCTGCAAATTATCCCGCTTATTACATGGCCACATTCTCAACAAATTAACGACATGACGCCCAATATTAATTTAAATGCTTTTGTGGATTTAGAAAATGTTGTTATTGGTTTAAAAAATAGTTTTATGTATTGATTTAAATTGACATGCATCCGCTAAGAAAAATAGTCCGTTGTTACCGTTTTTTAAACGGTCTGAATGAAACGGCAGCTCTCAGCTGTGTATTTACACAACTAATGGCCCATCAACTACAGCTCTCTCCCCCCCTCCCCCCCTGATCTTTCTTCTCCAGCAGCTAAATTAACTGTAGGTTACTCTGAGTGACCATAGACTGTATGCGACAAGCTTACAGTTAGTGACGTAACAACACCATAAAAGCTGGTGGGTTGAAAGCAATACGGGAGGTAAAAATAACTACAATAATTGTGATTTATTTATTGTGGCTTTTATGTTTTTAGTTATAA